TTTGTGCTTGAATCGCACTGGCGTTGACAATGTTTTGGCCACTGTTGCGGGGATAACGTGAACGGGCGGATGCAGGTGTTTGTCTGGTAGTACCTCAAAGCTTAACGAATGTGGTGGGGTAAAAGTGCAGTCTGCGGGTAGAGAAGGAGTACGACAGTTGTGCTTGCTCTACAGTTTTGCAGGTCTGCCATCCCTGTTCATACATGGAAATCCGACCTACTAAGCTTAGCGCACACCCAAACGGTTTTGATCAGCGAGTGCGTTATGATTCAAGCTGTGCAGAATTTCATCAACCGGCCTGATGGTATGCAAGCGTACAACACGGGTAACGCGGAAACGTTCAGATGCCCTCTGCGTGATGCGTGCTGGCGCATACAGACGAAATACCAGCACGAGCACGCCACCCCTGCTGCGCTGGGGCGTCCCACGAGCCTGTTGCATGCACTGTGCAGCTAGCGGATGTAATCAGCATTAGTATCCTGGTTGCTGTTTTCTTTGTATTGAATGGCCTTCACGGATCAATTCAGCATTGATCCACGTTGCTGACCGCCACCTGGCGGAAGCTCATCAAGCTTCCGACCACCTGCTGAACTGGTCTGCATAGCGCTTGAGGACTCGTGCAAGTCTTTGGCCATGAATGCCTTTGCCTTGATTGCACGTAGTTCGCATAGCAAACACTGCATATAAGGCTCTTGCCTCCCTTAAATCAGTGCAAGCTCCTGACAGGGGTATGTGGAGCTGGCGTGTCGTGTGCATCATGTGGAGGCGCTGCTACAGACTGCATCCTGGTTGAGTCTGCTTCTACTGGCCTCGAATGTGGTTGCCGCTCTCTCGGCGTTTTTCTTTTGCCTCATTCCTGGACTTAATAATGCGGGCTCATGCAAAAGGGCGAATTGTCGGTGTTTGGCATACTACCATACGCATGCGGACCTCGGGGCAATACAGTAATGCTTGTATTTCTTGTATTATCTTGCAGCGATAGCGCTTTTGCTGGCGCCTGGCTGGCTATCTGCTTCACACATGGCGCTGAGGCTTATGAATCATGCCATATTCAAAGTTGAAGCTTTGACTCCGGCTCTTTGGGGTCCGTGTTGGGGTTGATGCAAAATCGCGCGAAAACTGTTTGTTGGACATTTGCCTAGTCCACAGGACGGGTGCACCATTTGCATGAAGCGCTTGCGGGAGGTGGTTGTCTCAGAACAAGTGTAGATTAGATCATTTCAATAAAAAGAGCTATGTCTCGCTGTTCCGGTCCTGGAATTGAAAGACCCAATTTCAC